CAGCTGACATCTCCTCCCTCTCTAGGAGCTGTCTGCTGGCTCCGGGAAAAAGGCCCCTGGCGTTGGGTCCTTCCCGGGGATCGCGGAGAAGCTGGGCTGTGTGGTACCGTCAGTCCCGAGGGATGGCCCTGCCCTGCACCCCCGGGGACTCCCAAGCTGAGAGTACTGCCTCGAGCTACCGGACCCTGAGTGCCTCCAGCCAGAGCTCCTTGCGCTCGCTCATCTCTGCTCTCTGATCCGGACCCCAGGGTCCGCTGGACCCACCACCAGCAAGATGGACACCTAAGACACTATGCCACACCCTACCTTGGCCTTCTGCCTCTTTAAGGGCAGCTCGGCCTCTGGTCATCCGAAGTCGGACAGGGAGCATCTGGTGCTATTACCGGGGACTTGGTCTGACCCTCCCTGGGTGTTCAGGTGGTCGAGGCAAAGGGCAAGAGGAATCCAGGTCCCCCCTCCATGGACCTTGATGTGGTTTTAGGGGTCTTTGAGCCCATTTTGGGGTGCTCCTGGACTGCTGCCTCAGTGAGAGGTCTGAGATCAAAAAAATGGTCAAAAAGATCGGCCGAAGACTTTGAATAAAGGGTCCATTTTGCTGTGAGCCTCCGCAAGTTCTTACGCGGTGGGAGGAGCATATTAATGATGCAGGAGCTGCGCGTCGCCTGTGCCCATGCAAATGAAGGGCGTTCCGTGCAAGGAGTTTCGTGGGGCCGCCTGGAATGCAGAGGAGGAAGGACCGAGAACACGGAAAGATGGGTGGGCGGGTCCTGTAGAAGGGGGGCCGCAGGGGAGGGAGGAGAAGGAGGACTGTCGGCAGAGTTATGCCGAAGGGGACGAAGGGGAGCCTTCCTGCTCCCTTCTCAGCGTGGACTGGGTGGAGGCCAACGTTTCTCCCCTCGCTTCCTGCCTTGTGTCTTATCCTCTGTTTTCAGCTTGTCCCGGGCGGGGCCGAGGGTGCGCCCTGTGGGTGACAACAGGGAGCGAGTTGGTCTGATCCCAAGTTCCGGGGAGCCTGGCCCGAAGGTCAGGGCCTCACCCGAGGGCTCCGGGCGCGTCAGGTACACCCTCAGAGGCCTGGGAACCTTGGCGCAGCTTGCTGCGCTCCGGAGGAGTCCAGACAGCCGAGAGATCACCCCCGGAGTGGGGACACAGGGGCTCTAGACTCGACCCGTCCGGCAGCACCTTGGACAGAGCCCAGTCTGCAGGGTGGGGCCGGGTGGCGCGGTTGTATCCTCTAGGGTGGGTGCTCAAAGGTGCAGAAACCTGGGGGTCACGCGGAAAGCCGGGGCGCGCAATGCTGAGGGATCAGAGGCGCCAGAGTGACTCCAGCGGAGCCCGCAGGACCCAGAACGTCAAGCCCTAAGCCAGTAGCCTCCCCATGCAGATGAGGCTGGGACCCCGCACTTTATGCCAACGTGACGAGGGACTGGGCGGCCTCGGGGCGGAGCCTCCCGCTGGCCGCGCCCATTGGCCCTGCCGCGCCGACGCCAGGAACCCAGCGCGCGAAACGCGGGCAGGGCGGCGGAGGCCGGGAGCCGGGGCGGAGCCTGGCGTCCCCTCCTGTGTCCGGCCGCGCCCGACCTTCGGACTGCGGCGAGACTGCTGGCCGCTGCGGCCGCCGCCGCCGCCAGCTGTCCCTGCGGCGCTCCTGCCCAGGCGCTCGGGAGCCCGGCGAGGCCCAGCCACCGCCTCGGCGCGGGTCCGTCAGACTCGCGCGTGCGCAGCGCGGAGGGGCGCGGGTCGGGACCCCCCTCCCCCGGCTGGCGCGTGCGCCGATCGAGCGCGGGGCGGCAGGGGGCGCGGGCCGGGATGAGCCTCCGGGCGCGGCAGCCCCACTGAGGCGGCGGCCCGGAGGCAGGAGGAGCGGGGGCCGCCCGCGCCGTGCCGGGCCATGGCGTTCCTGGCCGGGCCGCGGCTGTTGGACTGGGCCAGCTCGCCACCGCACCTGCAGTTCAATAAGTTCGTGCTGACCGGCTACCGGCCGGCCAGCAGCGGCTCTGGCTGCCTGCGCAGCCTCTTCTACCTGCACAACGAACTGGGCAACATCTACACGCACGGTGAGCCGCGTCCCGCAACGCGCATCCCACACCCACTGCCGCCCTGTCCGTGTCGGGCCGGGGGCTCTAAGGCCGAGGAAAACCCAAGTCCTGGGCTGCCCTAGCCCTGGCACAACCAGTAGCCACGGTGACAAAGCTGCCATTGTCCGGGCCGCGGTGCCAGCTTCCGCCTTCCCGGCTGGGCCCCGGGTCAGGAGAGGGGAGCAGCGTGGGGGGCTGAACCTGCTTAACTCCTCTGAGCCCCAGTGGCAGGGAGATTGACGTCCGGCCCTTTGTAATCCCAACGCCCTGGGCATCCTCCCCCGCCAGCACCTATCCGGGAGAGGGGTGTTGACTGCCCGGGAGGAGAAGCCGGCCCTAGCCACTCCCCGCGCAGCCACCCTGACGCCCCCACCCCAGCAGCTGTCTTGGGGCTCCGCCTGGTGGCTGCTCTCCCCGCTCCCCGCCCCCCGCAGGAGGCTGGCCCCTCCTCCGCGGCCCGCCAAGCTCTGCTGACATAGCCCTGCCCGTCCTTGAGCTGCCCCAGCAGGGAGAGGGGCCCTGGGCTGGCTGGACCCAACCTCAGCACATTTCCCAAGCTATTGCCTGGCCAGATCCCACCGAGAGTGGGCAGCCCGGGGGCCGGTGTGAAGGCAAGGCCAGAGCGCCTGCTGGGAGGGCTGGACTGGGACTAATGGAGCTGGAAGGGTGGGTGCCTGGCGAGGAAACGGGACAAGCTCCTTTTGGGCCGCTTCCCCGCCTGTGGACTTGCCTTCTCCTGCCTGGTCTGGCCTTTTCTGGAAGACAAAAAGGGCCATGGCCTGTTTGCCTGGACACTTATGGAGAGGGGAGGGCTCAGGTTGAGAAGGGCAAGCTAGGTAGTGGTTTCACTGCCCTGGGACCTCTTCAGCACTCAGCGTGAGGTTACGCCTCCTTAGGCTTCTACTGACACAGCAGGCCGGGTTGGGGCCTCTTGCTTGGGTGAGAGAAGTGTGGGAGTTGGCCTGTCCAGGCTCCGTCCTCTGTCCGTTGCTTACTTGCTGGGCTCACCTGGGGCAGGTCACTCAGCCTGTCTGAGCCTCAGTTTCCTCACCTGCAAAGTGGGGATGATGCTCTCTACCTCCCAGCACTGTCGTGAGCCCTAAGCAACTAACGTTTCAAAAAGCCTTTACTCCAGGGCCTGCCTCGGTCCAAGGCCTGCTGGCTGCTGGCTGGACAGCAACATTCTCATGACCTGTCTTGCTCCTGTCCCTCCATGCTGGGACTGTCTGATGAATAACTATCTCCCTCCCCTAGGGCTGGCCCTGTTGGGTTTCCTGGTGCTGGTACCGATGACCATGCCTTGGGGTCAACTGGGCAAGGATGGCTGGCTGGGGGGCACGCACTGTGTGGCCTGCCTGGCACCACCTGCAGGCTCTGTGCTGTATCACCTTTTCATGTGCCACCAAGGGGGCAGCCCTGTGTATGCCCGGCTCCTCGCGCTGGATATGTGTGGGGTCTGCCTTGTCAATACCCTCGGTGAGTCAGGGCCCTGAGGGACGGGGTCGGGGGCACTCATATGAGCCCTGGGTAGGCAAGGGCAGGTGGACCCTCAGACTGACGTGCCCTCTCCTGCTTTCTCCCGTGCAGGGGCCCTGCCCATCATCCACTGCACCCTGGCCTGCAGGCCCTGGCTGCGCCCAGCTGCCCTGGTGGGCTACACCGTGCTATCAGGCGTGGCCGGCTGGCGGGCCCTCACTGCCCCCTCCACCAGTGCCCGGCTCCGGGCCTTTGGCTGGCAGGCTGGTGCCCGTCTGCTGGTGTTTGGGGCCCGGGGAATGGGGCTGGGCTCAGGGGCTCCGGGCTCCCTGCCCTGCTACCTGCGCATGGATGCGCTGGCGCTGCTTGGGGGCCTCGTGAACGTGGCCCGCCTGCCAGAGCGCTGGGGACCTGGCCGCTTCGACTACTGGGGCAACTCCCACCAGATCATGCACCTGCTCAGCGTGGGCTCCATCCTCCAGCTGCACGCCGGCGTCGTGCCTGACCTACTCTGGGCGGCCCACCATGCCTGTCCCCTGGACTGACTGGAGGCTGTCCCCATGCCGGCTTGCCCATGGCCTCCTACTTCCTCCTGCTGGTCTGCAAGGGGCTGGCTCCCCAGATGCTTCCAGTGGACGGGACATCTCAGCTGGGAGCCCTCATCTGCTCATCCATTCTTCCCTACGGATTAACCTCTTCTTCCACCCATGCCTCGGAGCTCCAGCTTCCTCTCCCTGCCTTCTCCCTCCGGGCTACTGTTCTACCATGTCAGCTGGAAGGAAGCCTTTCCCTCTGGGCCTGTGTGTCCCCTGTGACCTGTGAGAGACTGTGGGGTCACATCTTGCTCTGACAGTTGGAGTGCTGCCAACTTAGCAGGTCTGTACCAGCCCAGAACTGTCACCCCCTCCTTCCCCTCTGGTCCTTCTACTGGGCCCCTCCTGGGTCCCTGGCCAGCCCATACTTCTGGCCTCCCAGCAACCAGATGCTTACCTGCCCCTTCTCCCTCTGTCCAGAGACTGTGGAGTAAGGCATTCGGGGCAGCAGGACCAAGTGGGCATTGACACTTCTTGTACCAGCTGGCCAAGGGGCATGAGGACTTCTGCCACTGCTTTTTCTAGGCAACTGGTGCTGGGCTTTGGGCCTGCCCTCCACCTTGAGTGCCAATGGCTCAACCTGCCCACGGGGGACGTGCTCACTCAGGAAGCCTCTGCTCCACACAGTGTGTGGCTCTGTCTGATGGCCTGAGGCCTGAGGCCCTGGGTTCTCAGCAGGGTTCGGCCTCGGCCCATCCCAGGGGCCTGAGATCCTGGGGTGACACCAATAAAGGGACAGCAAGGGCTGTGTTGCCACACGAGCAAGTGTGGGTGTTCCCAAAATTCAAATACCTTTTATTAGACACAGCCAGGCAAAAGGGGCCATGGGAGCTTCCAGAGGGATCCATCTTTCAGGGGGATGGGAGGGAAACAGGATAAAAGGCTAAAAGTGCAGAGGCCAAGCCTGGGGCTCAGGTTGGGTCTAGGGAGTCCTCAAAGAGGCTGAGGAGGTTCCGAGGCTCAAAGGAGGGGAAGGAGCCCCGGGGAGGCTCTGAGTCGATGTCACTGAGGTCCAGGGCATCCCTGGGAGGAGGAGGAAAGGAACGACACTCAGGATCCGAAAGCCAACCCTGCCTGCCCCTGGCCCCTGGGCCTGCTCACCTGGCTGTGTACCTGCTCCGTGGAGTGGAGGTGCTCCCTGCCCGCGCCAGGATGGCCTCAGGGGAGAGTGAGGGCCTGCAGGGGGGTGGGTGAGACAGGCAGGGTGTCGGGTAGGGAGGGCACGATGAGACCAGCTCTGCTCCTAGACAGGTCCCAGACCCCCTCCTAACAAGGACAGGGAGCCACAGCTGGGGACAATAAAAACTTGGTGCACTTTGAAAGGAGCACTGACAGCTTTCAAAGTCCTTCCACCGGACCACACTCAAAGGCTCCCGCTCTGTCCCTTTTCGGAACCCATGGGCTTCAACTGAAGCGGGTTTGAAGTGAACTTTTAGTAAATGAAGTTATTCTGGCAGTACAAGCTTTACAGTGCCCCCTGAGCGACAGGGTGACATTTTTGTGAGGGCGAGGCTGACGGCCGTGTTCCTCCTGAGAGCTGTGGCCCTGAGCATGTGGTTTTCCTTCGCTGCAGTTTCTTAATTACAGCCTCTCACCGTCCGCCAGGCACCTGGGACTAAGGAATCCTCCCCAGGCAGGGGCTCGCCAGGCTCCAAGAGGGTTTCTCCTCCCAGTGAAGGGACAGTGCCTTGTCCCTGGGAACTGGCAGCCTCCACTGGGATAGAGGCTGAAGCGCCTGCCACCCCTGGCGAGATGGCGCTCTGTGTGCGAAGCTGTGCTGTGTGCAGCGGTCAGTCCGCCCCGAGCTGCATCGACGCCGGGCCAAGCCGCGCCCTCGCTGCCTGGTTCCTCTCCTGGGGTTGTGATGGGGGCCAGGTTTGTGGGAGGGGTCCCCATTCACCACTAATCTCCATGGGGCTGGGGCCTGGGCCTCCTCTGACATGGAGTTTGGCCACCGTGATGTCCATCCCCACCCCCCCCCGCCGCATGTCCTGTGTTGTTACCCACCCTGTGCTGTCGTCGTCCCAGTTGCTGGAAAGGCTGCTGTCCAGGAGGAGGCTGCAGGGCGGGGAGCCAGGCGGGGAGCCAGGCGGCGTGGCCGGCGGGCCTGGTGGCTGCAGCCAGCTGGCAGGGTGAGCCAGTCCATGCCAGAGCCAGCACAGCAGGGTGAGCAGGGCCTGTGGGGAGAGGGGCCTCAGGAGGCTGGGTGGAGCCAGGGGCTGGGAAGCAGCTGGGGAGCCTGTCGGGCACTTACCTGCCACAGGGCCCAGCATCGACTCAAGGCTTCGGCAGCCACGCACCACAGGACGCTCCAGGGCCGTGGCTGCCTAAGCACGGGCAGGGCCAGCAGGGCCTCGGCTGTGGCCCGCAGCTTGGGGTCTGGCTCCAACATCATGACGAGGACGGAGCGCAGCTCAGCAGACAGACCTGCCCTCAAAGCAGGGCTACGTCAGGGGTCCCAGGACACTGACTGGGCCCTGAGCCCAGGAGTGCCCCCACCACCAGCCACTCCCTCCCTGGGAGCCCAGGGCCACATGCCCCTCCCACCCTTGCCCCCCACTCACCGGCAGTGAACTCGGGGGGCAGGTAGCCCTGGCGCAGCTGCTGCCAGCCCTCCCCACCGTGGGGCAGCTCCATATTGCACGCCACTTCCAGGATGGTGAGACCCAGACTGGGAGGGACGGGAAGAGGGCAGAAGGTCCCAAGGTTGGCCTAGGGACACAGACCCAGGCCTGGGCTGCCCCTTGGAGGAGGGTGGGAAAGGGCCGGTTTCTTTTGCCATAAGGCAGGGAGGTGAGGAAGCAGGGGGAGGAGCTCTGAGGCACCCCGTGCCCCGCGCCCCGCTGGGTAGGCACCGCAGCTGCTACGGTGACTAGTGTTACTCTCATCCTGATGATCAGGGCCTGGGTGGGGTCCCAGCGGTATCACCTGTTAACTGTGGGCCTCGGGCAAGTCCCTTAACCCCCCTGTGCCATGTCCTCCCTGTGAATGGAGCAATAACAGCTCCTCCCACAGAGATATGAGGAGGAGGTAGGTCAGTGTCTATTAAAGCAGCTCTGAGGACTGGCTGTTTACAGACAGCCTGACTCCGGAGAGCCCCTGATTGAAGGGCAGGGGCAGTGTCCCCTGCACCTGAGTCTGCATGTCCAAGGCTAGGGAAGGAGTCCCTCTGAGGAGTCCCTTGCTCTGCCAACTGCCCCTAGGAAGGCCTTCCGCAGCCTGGGACCCTTGTGCATGCCAGTACTCACCTGAACACATCCGACGCTGTCCCATAGGAGCCCTGCAGCAGCTCGGGGGCCATGTAGCGGGGGTCTCCCTCCTGGGCGTCACTGGCCCCAGTTGTACCCAGCTCCACCAGCAACCCGAAGTCACCCAGCTTGCAGCGGCCCCGGGGCCCCAGGAAGATGTTGGCGGGCTTGACATCAAGGTGGACCAGGCCTTGGCCATGCAGGTGGGCCAGGGCGAGCAGAGTGTCCCGCAGGTAGCCCCAGACCTGAGCTTCCGGCAGGCTGGCGCCCCAGGCCTCACAGTGCTGCTGCAGGCTGGGCCCGCACAGCTCCGTTTGCAGGTACAGGATGCCGCTCTCCTCCCAGGCCCGCTCCAGCTGGACGCATCGAGGGTGCGGCCCCACCTTCTCATGGCCACCTACCTCAGCCAACTTTCGGGCCCGGTCCTTGGGGCCCCGGAAAGGTGACATGGAGCGCTTTACAGCATAGAGCCGGCCGTCTTCCTTGGAGCGCACCTGGAAGGGAGGCGGCAGGTGCAGGCGGGGTGGAAGGTGGGCTACCAGTGGTACACCAGTTGGGGAGATAACCCAGTAGATTCCATTAAGGTTTCACACGTGTAGGGAGACAGAACAGCTGGCATGCGTCTCAGAGACCCATGCCCCCTGCAATGGCAGAACTGGACACCCCTCCATCCACAGGGGCTGGTGTGCTGAAGACCCAGCAATGGAAGAGATGGGGTAGACCTGCACGCGCCGACCCAGAAGGATCTCTAGGACATGCTGGGAAGTGAAAGAGCTGGCTACGGAACACCACATGCAGGCTGCCCTGCTGTGGGAAAGCAGTTTCCTCTGGGAAGAAGAGCTGATCCAGAGGCCTATGTTGTTTGTACTTTTTATTTACTTATTTATATTTTGAGACAGGGTCTTGTTCTTTTGCCAGGCTAGAGTGAAGTGGCCTCATAGCTCACAGCAACCTCAAACTCCTGGGCTCCAGCGATCCTGCTGCCTCAGCGTCCCAAGTAGCTGGGACTACTGGCACGTGCCATCACGCCCAGCTAATTTTTCTTTCTTTCTTTCTTTCTTTTTTTTTATAGAGACAGTGTCTCACTCTTGCTCAGGCTAGTCTTGAACTCCTGGCCTCAAGCGATCCTTCTGCCTTGGCCTCCCAGAGTGCCAGGATTACAGGCATGAGCCACCGCACTAGGCCTGTTTGTACTTTTTAACAAATTATCTTCATACGGTACTTATGCAAGGGAAAACTACCATTTTAAAAAAAATGTAAATGATTGGAAACTATATTTTAAGAAAATATAAAGTGGCAGGCAGGGGATACCCTTAGAGCCTGCCAGCCCCAGGCAGGCAGAACTTGCCAAGGACCCCAGCACAGCTGGCTCCAGGGCAGGAGGAGATGGCAGCCGGAGCTGCTGCGGTGTGCCAGGCTGTGGACAAGGGCCCAGTGTGCGCTGACCCTCAGAGGGCCCGCATGGGGGATGTGAGGGCAGCCAAAGCAAAGCCTGGTGGCGGGTGCGGGCCGTCAGGGAGACAAGGGGCACAGGCTACCAAGGGCACCCTCCTGCCCAGGGAGGGACAGGGAGGCAAAGGAGCCCCCAATGGGCCTGGGAAGCTGCCCCCAAACCCCCACACTCACCTTGAAGACCTCTCCATAGGAGCCATGGCCCAGGCGGCTGAGCCTCTGGAAATTTTGCTGGAAGAAGGACTCTGGCCTCCTCGGGTCATACCCGGGGCTCTGCAGGGTCTCTGAGGCCTGACCCCGGAACGACACCCTCCGGGGCTGGGACTGGTGCCAGCCTGGGGTCCGAGGAGGGAAGAGGCGGCTGATGGGGATGCTGCCCTTGGCAGGCGGCCGGGGTGGGAGGCTCCGGCTGAGCCCTCCGGGCCTCTTGAGAGAGAAGCCAGGTTCTGCATGGCGGAAGTAGGCTGGGACTGGGACAGGGGTGCCACTCAGGGGTGGCGGGGTACCCTCCGTGGGCACGGGCATGGCTAGCGCAGGAGGCTTGGGGGCAGAGACAGAGACTGAGTCCACTCAAACAGCGCCTGGTCCTGTGACCCCAAAGATGCTGTGGAAGAGAGTCGCGTCTACACCACACACGAGTTCTGCTTTAAACATGAAGGCCGTGGGGGTGACAAGCACCTACCAGGAAAAGACAGAGGACAGACATATACATACCTGTATACTGGGCTGTCTGTATTTTGGAGATTCTAGAAATATAAAATGAAACCCACGGGGCTGGGTCCTTGAGGGTCTCCCGATAGTCCAGTAGAGAGGTTAAAACTGAGGTGGGTTCTGGAGTCAGACCGCCTGCATGTCTGTCCCCACCTCATCTCAACTGTTTGTCCCTAAGCTATGCAGCCTCTTCCAAGACTGTAAGATGGAAATATTTACACAGGCCAATCATCCCTTAACTCCAATTCCAAAGTAAAAAACCTCTGAATTCCAAGTTTCTTTCTTTCTTTTCCATAGTTGTGGTACCAAAACTCATTTGGTGGATTCCACATCCAGATGGCAGCATGAGGAGCCCTGTGGACCTTCTCCCCAGTGAAACAGGCATAATGTGAAAATTATTCAAAATCCAGCATTTAAAGTCTCTGGGTGTGGTACTAAGAATATACAGAAAACGAAGAAACGTGTATACAAGAAAATCTGCCAAATCTTGATAAGAACATGGAGCATGTTGGCACCTGAGCCGTGACACCCCATCCCTGCCCTCCAGGCACCGCCAGCCTAGCACTGCGGGCAGGTGTGGCCAAGAAGATGGGCCCCCTCTCCCCCAGCTCCCAGTCTAGGGTTAGGGTATCTGCCCAGAAGGCCTGGGCTCTCAGCACTTCTATCCCCTCCTGGTTCCACATGGCAGAGACTACACTCTAGCTGCATGTGGCGTATAGGTTAGGGGCTCCCTTCTTCCACCTGCCCCCACTCACAGAGGGGAGGCTCTACCTCGGGGCCCAGCAGGCTGGGAACACGGACCCCAATCACCCAAGCCCCAGCTCATTTGTAGGCAGGAGGTTCCACACTGGGAGAGGCAGACGAAGAAGGCCAGAAGTTATTGCCCCCGCCCCACCCACCACGACCTGCTTCTAAGGCAGCAGTTCACTCAGAGAAGTGCACCAATGTCCTGCTCCCAGCTCCATAGCATGGGCTCAGAGATTTTGCTCAGGGATAGAAGCAGGCTGTAAAACAGAGAGTTCTGAAGCTCTCCTCTTGAATAATTGACTTTATCTGAATCAGAATGTGGGGAAGTTCAAGCCTACGGGTGCTGTCAAAATCAATGGAGGTGGGAGGCTGAGGCAGGAGGATCACTTGAGCCCAGGTTGCAGTGAGCTATGATGACACTACAGCACTTTATCCTGGGCAACAGAGCAGGATCCTGTCTCAAAAAAAAAAAAAAAGAGAAAGAAAGAAAGGAAGGAAGGAAGGAAGGAAGAAAATTGATGGTGGTCCTGGTGATGAACAATGAAGAGGAGGCTGGTACCTACATCAGAGCAACAAGCTAAGCCATAGGCCAGCTAGTTTAACAAAGAGAAGTGAGGAAAGAGACAGCTAAGAAGAGTCTTCCTATAGCTAGAACAAATCTTAAACACTGACCCCAAAAGCTACCCTGTGTTAAAGGAGCCCAAATTTAATCGGATCAGCCTGTGGAGCAATTATGTCCTGTGGTATTGTCAAAAACAATACAGCACCTAACCAGCTATTGGTGGAGCCTAACAGCTGGGGATGATCAGGGAAAAGCCAGTCAAAGGGAACCTCCTAAACCACCAGGGTGGCTGTGCACATGCCCAAGGCTGCACCCTCAGGGTAGTGACACCAAGAATTCACAGCGCAGGGGAATTGACTTCACCACGACATCTAGCCATGCGCCAAACAAATAAATAGGCAAACTACAATCACATGCCCCTGCAAAGGGTGGGGAACCAGTATGCACAGTTGCTACAACACATTACCTAAAATGCCCAGTTTTCACCAAAAAACTACAAGATATGCAAAGACACAGGAAAGTGTGGCCCATACACAGGAAAAAACAAAACAGGCAGCAGAAACTGAGAGGGCCTAGTCTTAACAAAAGCTTCAAAGCAGTCCTTATAGCTATGTTCAAAGAACTAAAGGAAACCATGTTCAAACAAGGAAAGGAAGGTATACTGATAACATTGTAGAGCATACCAATAGAGATAGAAATTATAAAAAGGGCCAAATGGAAAATGTGGAGTTGAAAAGAATAATAACTAAAATGAAAAACTCACTAAATGGGTTCAACAGTAGATTTGAGCTGAAGAAATAATTTAAGCAACTTGAGGACACATCAGTGGAGATGACACAATCTGAAGAAAAGAGAGAAAAGCATGAAGAAAAGGAAACAGAGCATCAGGGAAATCTAGAGACACATCACCGAGCGCAGTGACATATACATGATGGGTACCTGAAGGAGAGAAGGAGCAGGAAAAAAATAGTTTTTCCTCTGTCCCTTTGAATTGGAAAGGAAAAATATTTGAAGAAATAATGGCTGAAAACTTCCCAAATTTGATTTTAAAAAATTAATCAACACATCCAAAAAGCTCAACAAACTCCAAGCAGGATAAATGCAGAGATCCATACATAGACATCATATTAAAAGTGCTGAAAACCAAAACTATGGAGAAAATCTCGAAAGCAGCAAGAGCAAAATGACTCATCACTTACAGCACCCCCCATAAGATTAACTGCTGACTTCTCATCAGAAACACTGGAGGCCAGAAGGCAGCAGGGTGACAATTCAAAGTACTGGAGGAAAAATTTGTCTACAAGGATCTTTTATCCAGCAAAACATCTTTCAAATATAAAGGCAAAGTAAAGACATTCCCACATATACAAAGACAGAAAGAATTCACTGCTAGCAAGCATGCCTTACAAGAAATACTAAGGGAAGTTCTTCAGGCTGAAAACATATGAAACCAAATATTAATTCAAATCCACATGGAGGGCCGGGCGCGGTGGCTCACGCCTGTAATCCTAGCTCTCTGGAAGGCCGAGGCGGGCGGATTGTTTGAGCTCAGGAGTTCGAGACCAGCCTGAGCAAGAGCGAGACCCCGTCTCTACTAAAATTAGAAAGAGATTAACTGGAAAACTAAAAATATATAGAAAAAATTAGCCGGGCATGGTGGCGCATGCCTGTAGTCCCAGCTACTCGGGAGGCTGAGGCAGGAGGATCTCTTGAGCCCAGGAGTTTGAGGTTGCTGTGAGCTACGATGATGCCACGGCACTCTAGCCCAGGCAACAGAGTGAGACTCTGTCTCAAAAAAAAAAAGAAAAAATCCACATGGAAAGACTAAGACCACCATTAGTAAAGGTGATTACACAATGAAAAAAATATAAGTGTAGATTTCTTCTTTCTTCTCTTAAATCATTTAAAAAATCATTATGTATAATATGTACAAAACAGTATGTACATAACTGCATTGCTGGGAATATAACAGAGTAATGCAATTATTTGCAAATAATAGCACTAAGGAAGTGGGTGCATAACTGCTTTGAACTAGAAAATGACGCCAGATGGCAATTCAAACCCACAGGAACAAAGAACCAGAAATGGCAAATGAGGTCAGTATAACAAACATTACACATACATACTTGCTTTCCTTTCTTCTGTCAGCTTCTTTAAGAAATTGAAATCCTAAATAAACGAAAAGACATTACATGTTTACCCTCCAAACCGACCCACAGATTCGGTGCCATCCCTATCAGAATTCCAGCTGGCTTCAATACAGAGATTGACAAGCTGATCCTAAAATGTATATGGAAATTCAAGAGACCCAGAAGAGTCAAAACAATCTCAGAAAAGAATAAAGTTGGAGAATTCACCCCTCCTGATTTCAAAACTTACTACAAAGCTACAGTAATCAAAACAGTGTGGTACTAACACTAGGATAGATATATAGATCAAGGGAATAAAATTCAGAGTTCAGATAAAAACTCTCATATTTATGGTCAGTTGATTTTCAACAAGGGTGCCAAGATAATCAATGGGAAAGAATAGTCTTGCAAAAAATGGTCTAGGGACAATTGGATATCTACATACAAAACTAATTTAGCAGAAAAATATGACCTGAACTACTTTTCCCTCTTGATGTAAATAGTCATATATTTCTTGACAGAAATATTAATGTTTGATTATGGGATGATGTCCCAGACCTGCAAGTGGTGTTACATATATGTTATATGCACCCTATTAGCTTTGTAAAATCTGGGACGTTTTGAATTCCGAACACATCTGGTGCCAGGGCTTTATGGACCTGGAATCCTGACCTTACAGAGGGTTCAGTGCAGTGTCTGGCATAAATGCAAACCGCAATGATCATGGACAATGCTCTGGGCAGTTTCCGCTGTAAGTGACTTTGTGTGGGGGGGCAGAGAGGGCTGTTGTGTTGCTATAATGTAATTGAAACAAAAACAAAGAAGCAAGAGAAGGGGAGTGGATTTGAGAGGAAGTCACAATGTATCAAGAGATGCCATAGCTGGTAGGGATGAGTCAGAAACAGGAGAGAGCAGTCATCTGAGCCTCCGGTCCCTGAGGGAGTGAGGGGGTGAGGGGAAGGGCCCTGCCTGGGCCTGGCTGGAAGACGCCCTACATCCTGTGGGGACCCTTCCTCTGCCTCTGTTTACCTCAAGAATTCCATCCCAGGGTTTCTCAAAGTGAGGAGCCAGGTGTCAGGATCCTCAGGGAGCTGGTTAGAAGTACAGCCTCCTGGCCCAGCCCTGCGCACTCCAGGACCCTGGGCCCCTGAATCATTTTTTTTTTTTGAGACGTGGTCCGGTCATGTTGCCCAGGCTCGTCTTGACCTCCTGGGCTCAAGCGATCCTCCTGCCTCAGCCTCCCCAGTAGCTGGGACAACAGGTGCCCCTGCATCTTAAGCCAGTTTCCAAGCTGTCCCAATGTCACTTACATCCAACAAGGCAGGCCTGGCCGACAGCCTCAGGGGTGGGTTGGGGGAGGTAGAAGGAACAGCGGCTCCCTGGTGAATCCAGGGTGGCCCAGAGCCGAGGCCAGGCCCGGGTGGCCTCCGCAGTTTCCAGAGGTCTCAGGACTCAGGCCTTCTTGCCTCACCCTTTCACCGGGCCGGACACATCTGCTGAGCACGGTCT